TTTCTTTCATCAAGCAAACTAAGCCCGGAGATATCATTTCCCTTTCATTTTTAGAGTAAATACCATCTTCGGTCTTCAGCAAATTTTACGATGCCCGCTTTTGTCCCTAGCAAATAAAGAGGCTATTCGTGGTCCCTAAGAAATTTAAAGTGGTTCTATTTTAGTCCTTTGAGGGACTAATGTAGGTCTTTTTTGAATTTATGAGAGACCACGATTTCAACTAAATTGGTCCATTTTGAATTTCTTAGGGACCACGAATGATTTTTTTATTTGCTAGGACTAAAGCGGATATCGTAAAATTTGCTGAGAACTAAAAATAATATTTACTTTCATTTTTATTTTACCAGAACATGGCTTTACAAAGCATTTCATTTGCGAAGTCTCAATATCTATCACAATAATACTTGTAAGAAATGGATGCTGTCAAACTTGCCTGCCTTAGTGCATAGCAGTTACTGAAAAATTTATAACATTATTAACCTCTCCATCATATGTGTTAAAAATGGTATAGGGGAGCCAAAACCCTTTATAAATGATTCTATTATTAATAGGCCAAATGACAAATCATAGTAGACCGACACGACATCTCAACCCAAAATCTTAAGACTATAGGTTTGTAGGTCTTTTCATACTTATATGATTCTCACTTGGTTTATCTCTAGCCAATATGGAACTTATAATGACCCTAGTCTATAAATTATAAATTTATGAATTGTTAAGAAATAATAATAATTAATGAAGAATTAATTAGAAGAGAAGTCTAATTAGATGAATTAAAGTCACCAACAAGTTAAAAATGATAGTTAAGGAGTACAAATACGGGTAGACAAATTTATCCGAAAGTTAAAAGTAAAATGATAAATATTATTGTAAAAATATTCAAAGTCAATGTGTTAAGTTTGAAAGATTTAAATAGATAAATTTATACCCATTTGTAAGTGAATTCTTTTACTTAGCTCAAAACCATGTGGGATGAGCTTGAGAACTTGAAACCTTTTCCTATTTGTGAGTGTGATCTTTCTTGTGATAGTGGAGCAATGCTGGAAATGCGTGATTATCGCGACAAAGATCATAATATCTGTTTTCTAAAGGGGCTCAATGACTAATACTCGTCTATTAGATCACAAATTATGATGATTGATCCATTGTCAAATGTCAACAAAGCCTTCTCTATGGTTGCCCAGCAGGAGAGGCAGTTTGGATCTAAGTCTAGCAATGGAGTTTTAACTAATCCTACTCAGAATTTTGTTGCCTTTAACAATAGCGCAGGTACAAATGGAGGACGAAGGAATTTTAATCAGAAGGCAGAAAAGAATGACAGGGGTCGTGGAAAGAGTATTAGAGGATGAGCAACCTATGGAAATAGAGTTTGCATATGCTGTGGCAGATTGAACCATATAGTAGAGACTTGCTATCAGCTACACGGCTATCCACCAGGATATCGTTCGAGGAATTCAGATGCTCATGCTGCTAATAGTGCTTCCAACGTTACCACCAATGAGAATGCTTTAATAGATCTTGCTCAACCAATTTAAAATACTCACATTCATCCTCAACTTTCATATGAGCAATATTAGCATATTGTCTCACTCCTTCAAAATCCTAACACTATCACAACTCAACTTGCATATATAGCAAACATTGCACGTGTTTCCTACACTAATGCAAAGTTCACAAGTATAACACACACACAGTGGATCATTGACACTGGTGCCACTGATCATGTTAGCTATCTCAGTTCGAGTTTTTCTTTTCTTCGAAAGATTACACCTATAGCCATTAGTTTACCCAATGGTTCATGTGTCATGTCATATTTTTCAGGTTCAGTTGTTGTGTCACCTACACTAACTCTATTAAATGTTCTTTATGTACCAAATTTCCATGTATATTTGATATCTGTAACCAAATTACTTGATTCTCTTAATTGTTGTATAACCTTTTATGGTCATTTCTATCATATTAAACAGATTCCAACCCAGGTGATAATTGGTACTGTTGAGCAAGTGAAGGATTTATATGTGATAGTCTATGACGAGAGGATAAGTAATGCAATTCAAGGATTGAATAAATGTAGTTCTAATAGATCAACTCATGTAACAGATGTCTCATTGTTATGGCATAGACGGTTAGGGCATGTGTCTGATGTAGTCATGAATAAAATGTCATCTCAATTCCTTTTTATTCATTCATCACCTCATGTATACCCTTGTGACACTTGTCACTTAGCAAAACAAAAATGTCTCTCTTTTTCTTCCAGTCAAACTAAAAGCACAAAACCATTTGACTTACTTCATGGAGACATCTGGGGACCCTTTAGCACGCAAAATACATGGTTATTGATTTTTCTTAATATTAGTTGATGATTTCTCAAGATTTACTTGGGCAATATTAATGCAAAATAAGGGAGAGACTCGGGCAAACATTCAACATTTCTTTGTTCATGTTGAGAATCAATTTCAAACAACTGTGAAGGTGTTTCGTAGTGATAATGGATCTGAATTCCTTATAAGAGATTTCTTTCTGCAGAAGGGTGTAATCCACCAAAAAAGTTATGTGGAAACACCTCGGCAAAATGCTAAGGTTGAAAGAAAACATCAACACTTGCTCAATGTTGCTAGAGCATTGTGTTTTCAAGCCTCACTGCCTTTATCATTATGGTCTTATGTTGTAACTCATGTTACCCATCTCATTAATAGAACTTATTCCCCTACAATTGATAACAAATCTCCATTTGAATTACTATATCAGCAGCCACCTGTTCTGGTTCATCTTTGTGTCTTTGGGAGGATGTGCTATGCTTCCACACTTAAAGCCAATCGAACTACTCAAGATCCGTAAGTCTGTATTTTTGGGTTATAAGGATGGCACTAAAGGTTTTCTCCTATATGATCTATCATCACATCAAATCTTTGTCTCTCAACATGTGATATTCTATAAAAATGAATTTCCCTTCGACACCATAGACTACACCACTCACAACCATTATATTTTACCTTATGACTTTAACCCTCAACCAGATATTTTCTTTTCTACCCAAACTATCCAATCTATCCTTCAACAACATCACTCCAACCTTATTGATACGCCCACTAATATGTCCATGAATGCAACAACACCATTGGCACATGATCATCCTTCACCTTTGGAATCTGCATCATCTAGGAATCCTCAACTTTGATGTTCCTTTCGTCTTTGCACCACACCTCGTTATCTAATGGACTATCACCATAGTCTTTCAATTGCTTAGCATGACTCGTCAACACCAGGCACCTCTGTTCCTATTTTTCCCTATACTTCTCATACTATATCATCTGTTTTATCATATGATTCTTGTTCTCCTCCCTACAAACACTTTTGTCTTAATTTTTACAAACTCTTTGAACCTGACACTTACACATAAGTTGTTAAGCATGATAATTGGGTTAAGGCGATGCAGACTAAGTTATCTGCACTTTCTCATAATGATACTTGGTCGTTGGTCGAGTTACTTGAAGGGAAACAACCCATAGGATATATGGGTATACAAGATAAAGTATCGGTCTAATGGTTCCATTGAACGCTGTAAGGCGTGCTTGGTATCGCAAGGATTCACCGAAATGGAAGGGGTGGATTATTTCATTATTTTTCCCTAGCCGCGAAGTTAACCTTTGTAAGAACTTTACTTGTTGTTACTTCCATTAAAGGGTGACACCTTGAGTAGTTAGATGTCAACGTTTTCTTGCACGGTGACCTTCGCAAAGACGTGTATATGTAGCTTCCTCAGGGTTTTTCGGTTCCTTCTGGTTCATTAAATCTCGTGTGCAAGCTACGTAAATCATTATATGGGTTGAAATAGGCAAGTAGGCAGTGATATGCCAACCTCTCATAAACTCTTATCTCGCTTGGATATAAGCAAACCACTGCTGATCATTTCATGTTCACCCTTGTCTCTGCTACTTCGTTTATAGTTCTTCTTGTTTACGTTGACGATATTATTCTTTTTGGGGATTCTCTTGCTGAAATAAATTGGATCAAAGGTTTTCTTGATTGTCAGTTCAAGCCCAACATCGGATCCAAAACCAAATATCACTCCAAATACAATGGCACCAATTTCTCCTCATGCAATCTCCTTGGTGTATTTATGTGCCACTAATCATCAGAGAATAAATAACCATTTTTTGTTATAAATTAGTTAGATTGTTAGGCTAGCTTTCTTGATTACCTTTTCTGTTATTGCTTACAGTTGTAACTGTTATTCTTTGCAGTGTGTATTTCAGCTCCTATATATTTTGGTAGCTGCTTGTAATTGTACATACTTTTCATAATTCAAATTCAGATTTTCTTTACACATGAGTTCTCTTTTCTGATATAAAGACACATACATGGAAGCTACATATATTAGCAAACTGCACAAGGAACAAGCATACAAGTGAAAATGAAAGCTAGCATCCAATCCCAAGGGGAGCTAAAAATAATTTCTGCCAAATGACTGGTCCAAAATATTATGACACTTCTGGATTCGGCTTCTTATACATCATCGCTACCATATCATGTCACTTTTGTTATTCGGTATGCATACATTTTTGTAATATTTAAATAGTTGAAAAATTATTAAATTTTAAACTGAATTTTCTAATCCCGTTTGGATTTTGCAACTGAATTATAAGCATGGCATAATTTTTATAATTTTTTTTTGTGGGGATTTTTTTTATTAATATTTACATTACTGGAGCTGCATTTTAATTCTTATCAATACCTTTCTCCCCTCCAACGAGAAAAAAGCTTATTAGGAATTAAATAACACAAATAGAAAGAAAGAAATTCTCCTACTCAGTTTCTTTTTTTCTCTCTCTCTGCATGTGCGAGCGTGCGCCAGGGGGTGTTTTGGATTCTTTTCATTAAATTTAATTAATTTAAATTTTAATGGTAGATTTAGTTCTCCTTACCACTGCATATATTTTTCACCAAGCATGATAAATTCCCTAACATATATTGGGATGAGTTAGTGATAGAACCAGAAAAATAACATTGAAATTATAGAGATAATGGAGGTCATGCCTCTTTTACATACACTAATATGCAGAAAATAAACCCCAAGAAAGCCTCAACTCCCCCTCAAACCAAACACCTAGGCTCAAGAGTTCCCTAGAGGTCTCTCAAATTCCCACTAACCAATTCTGAATACATGCATACTGAAAACCCCACCCCCAAATCACTTTATATAACATCATCTCTCTCCTCTAACTAACTACTATGGACTCTTTTGCATTGCTGAACTTGGGCCCACTAATCATAGCCCATCAGTTAGTAATAGCCTATTAAACTGTATATTGCACAATTTCCACCTATTTATACACATTATTATATACTTTGATCCAAACAAAAACCCAGGGAATCCATCTTTTAAACTTATAAACATTATAGGTAGACCAAAATTTTAACAAATCAACACTGGTACAAAATGGCTACCGCCGTGTAGGCAGTTAAGAAGGGCTTTTAGAACACATTCAAGCATCAGTCCTAAACAATGAAAACACAAAAAGAGTACTAGTCATTCCAACTCTTAATTTCATCACATCCTCCTTTCACTCTAAATTCAGATCATGCTTATCACACGAGTACTAACCATTAGAACCATAGCTACCATTATTACTCAAAGTATTCGACGGACCAATGTTAAGCTAAGTTAAGATCTTTACAAGATCCGCGTTCTTTCTGGACACAGCATCATTTGTCTCAAGTGAAGTTTGCCTTCTTCTGAAGACACCCCACAAGTAATGCTTATCATGAAATCCTGCCCAAAGGATAACTCAAATTAAAATGTATCCTTAAGTTCTATAAACAAATTAGATTGGAATGTGCCACTGAAAAGCTAGAATAAACAAAACTCACTCCAATGTTGCATTGGCAGCAGCACAGTAGAAGGAAAAATTAAAAGCTCTGCATTTTCAGCCACAAATCTTATGGCAAGTTCAAGGCGAATGATGTCATAAACCAGCATGTCAAACACCTTTTCGGCTCTGTAGGGAAAGTAATATTTAGAATATACCAAATTAAAGAAAGAGCACAGTAAAATCAAGTAAAAATTATCGGAGAAATTACCCTTCATTCTCAGGAAAGAAATAAAGAGCAATGCTCTCATCAGTTGGGCCCCCGTTGTTGAAACTTTTAGGCCACACCTCGGATCTGTAAAACAAATCTGCACGAAGCACCTCTGGGAAAAGTTCTGTCTCCCCCAAAACTTTGGAGCATGCTAAATTGGACAAATGGGCAAGAAGTCCAATAGTTTTGTGGCCTACGTTCAACCTTCCCCTATTATCCAGAAAATTCAACTTCAGATGATATTCACCACAACAGCTATAGAAGTTTACCAATTTCAAGGGAAAGTAGCAAAACAAATTTCATACCTCCAGATTGGATTAGCAATAGGCTGTGCATCAACATGACAATCTAATCCTACACAATTTAAATCATCATTAGCTGCATCTCTAGGAATTGATCCACACTCATTTTTAAACTCACTTGCTTCTTCATAGTTGATAATCTCAGGTGAATTGCGACTATCAGATAACAGGACCTTTGCCTTCTTCTTTCTCTTTATGCAGCTTTTCAGTTCTCTTTTGGCTTGGATTGCATTGTTTACCAAAATTATGGAGTCAGTTGTTCCAGATGAGAGAAGTGTAGATTGGTGAAGAGAAGATGGTAGTGCTACCTTTCGTTCACAATCCTCACAAGACCAAAAAACATCATCAATAAAAATCACAGGCCCGTCCAAACAGTACCTGAAAAAAAGTAAAGTTAAGAAGTCAGAGGCCAATTAAAGCCTTGAAGAAGATGAAACTGCAACTTTATAAACTGCAAATTTTTTATTCACAAAAGAATGGGAGAAAAAATCAGATTTGATTTAAAGTTCAGGGTACTAATAAAATGGCAATAAAAAATATGTTGTGTATCTATTCAGTAATCCTTTGGTTAACCCAAACCCAACTATAATGGGTACACTCCCAAGTCTCACCTTCAATACCAAAAGAAATTTTAAGAACGTCCATATGGCAATAAAAAGTAGAGGCATCTACAGCTATGTACTGATGATAAAAGCCCACTACAGAAGTAAATCATAATTTTAAAAGCACTTTAACTAAAATATAAAAAGAGGGTGGAACGGTGGTAAAACTGTTTTCGTTGTGATTGAAAGGTCACGAGTTCGAATTCAGAAAACATATTCGAATTCAGAAAACATATTCGAATTCAGAAAACATATATTTTGCAAATATGCAATGGTAAGGCTATGCACAATGATTGCCCTCACCCCTACCTTTGCTAGTCAGAGTTTATTGGGGAATGAATTTTAACTAAAATCCAAAATCATGTAAGATATGATAAATGTAAAAAAACACGACAGATTATACTCAAACAGGTATTATACTCAAACAGGTGGGCAGGGTATTAATATCAAGCAGTGAGTATCACTCCAATTATTAGTCTCAAACAGAAATTTTAAAGAATGTACAAATGGCATTAGAGATAGTGGCATCTGCAGTTAAGTATTGATGACAAGAACATTCTAAAAGTGCATCCAAGAATGCAAAGAGATAGTAAACAATAAGTACCTATGCAGAGCATAAGCCTCACACTTCATGCAGAAGACCAATGTCTCCGGAAAACCTTCGTGGCCACACTTGAGACAAACAGTATCCTACAAAACGAATAAAGTTTTACACAAATGGTTCATAACTCATAAGAGCAAAAGTGCAACTCCAAATATGCATACAAAAGCTCTAAATCATAACTAGCCTTTGCTTTTGAGCAATGTATGGTTAAAAAGAACAATTCCAAAATGTTGAAAAAAACTTGCCCCATTCTGGGATCCAATATTTTTGCCAGAGATAAGAGTATAAATATTTTTGCAATGGCAGCTACAAAAAATTAAGAATTTTTTCTTCTGCTCAATTCAATATATCGTCATCAATTAGAAAATCCAAATTAGACAACACGGATAGGTTCATGACTGAGTGACATCATCAATCTATAACATGCATAATTGTAACAAAACCTTATGCAAGAAACATAATCAACATAACAGCAGGATGAGAGAGAGAGAAAGAGACAGAAAGAAAGAGAGAGAGGGAGAGAGAGAGAGAGAGAGAGAGAGAGAGAGAGAGAGAGAGAGAGAGAGAGAGGGAGAGACACCCACCATTGTGTTAGACTGAGAGTGTTGTGAGCGAATTCTCTTCATTAGGTTTTCAAAGGTCAGATTCCAGAGAAAAGTACAAAACCTACCACTCCTTTAGCTTTATGCAACTCCAAAGTACAAAGATCAAAGCCCAAGCTCGAATACAATATTTATTTTTAATCTATTCACTAATCCGGCAATTTGATACAGAGAATCACACCTAATTTATTTTAAGGGAAAACTTCAAAAACGTCGTTGTAAATTTTTTTAGAATCATTTATCTTCTTTCTCGAAATTTTTAATCATTTATCTCTTTATCTAAAGTTTTTTTATTATTTACTCCTTAATTTGATTTTCCATCCAAAACTACAGTTAACAGTATTAATTATTTTATAAAATACCAAAAGTACCCTTTAATTAAAAAAAACATTGACGGTGTTTATGTGTTGAGAGTTGTTGCTATATCCTCTCTTTGTCATCGCCTTTGTTGCTCCAATTGCAAATTTCTATAGTCCTTGAGCTTCACACCTACGTCGGTTTGGCTTCTCCTTTTCTCTGCACACACGAAATGATTTGACCGAATCCTTATCCACCGGTGCACACATCATTTGAGCAATTTCAGGTTTGTCAATCAAAACCCTAACTTGATTTTGTTTCAGTGTTGGGAAAGACAAACAAATACAAAAATCTGTGTTGAAAAATTAAAAGATAGATACAAGGGAAACATTTATCCTTTTCTGCATGTATTCGATTTCTGAAAATAGCATCTCGTTCGACGAATCTTTATATTAGAAAAATGCAGTATTTATAAGCTAATAGATAAAGTCATCTATTATTTCAAAAATTATAGTAAGAATCTTTATATTACAAGAAATACCTTCTTGGAACGTTTTCCCTATATAATATTATTCTAATTAGGCATAAAGAATTTTTTAGAGCATCAATCCACTATAATATTATTTTAATTTTTTTTCTCAACCCTTTCTTTTTTTCTTTTGGTGAAGAACTCAACCCTTTCTATATTGAAGTTCGACGAAGCCAACTGTAGTGTTTGCGTCTTTCTATATTGAAGTTTTTTTTTTTTACCTTGCATTTGCGTCTTTCTATATGAAAGTCGTGAAGAATTGTCTATTCTTTTAGTATTCTTTTTCTCTAATCTTTTCAATTATTTTTTTGCAATTTTTTTGCATCATTACAACATATTTTTTCAGTCTTTTTTGCATCATCACAACATATTTTTGCAGTTTTTTTTTGCATCATCACAAAAAGTAAGTTGAGAAATATATATTGTTTGGTATGCAGATTGCAATGGATGACTATGATATAGGTCTTCCATCATCACAACATATTTATGGAACTGAATTTGAATATGATGATGAAGCTGAGTTTGAAGATGGTGATGATGCTGAGTTTGAAGATGGTGGAAAGGATTGGGGTGCAGATGATATATTCGATGGTGATGTTTTGGATGAGGACAAAATGAATGAAATTATAAATGAAGACACTGATGGGGTAAGATTGAATTGGCACATGGAATGGAGTTTGGTGATGTTTATAAATTTTAAGATGCATTGAAGGAGTGGTGTATTTCTCGTGGGTTTGAATACATGTGTGAATAAATTTCTCGTAAGAGCAATTAGTACATGCATTGGTGGTTGGTGGAGAGAACACTTTTCAAATTAAAATATGAAAACCCATCCACACATGTACTAGACAAGCTTCAAACAGTCTTATTACTTCCAAGTACTTATCAACAAAATTATTAGAGGATTTCAGATCCAACCCGAAGGAAGAAATGAGTGGATTGAAAAATAGAGTAAGTAAAAATGTTGGATATGATGTAGGAATTCAGCAGCTATACCGAGCAAGGAAGAAAGCAAAGAAGACTATTTTTGGGGATCATGCTCGGCAATTTGAAGTTAGTCGTGCATATTGTAAAATTATTCTAAATACTAATTCGGGAAGCTTTGTTAAGCTACATACTGAACCACAACCTCCGATAATAATTGATGGGTTTGTGAAAGAATTGCTCCCTAGACACACTTCGTGGTGATTGGGAATCTGACCGTGAATTCTCAGGTGAGTTTTATAATGGTTCAAATCAGTTTCGTAGTCCCATGCCTAAATATCCATCGACAAACAATGTTGTTTGTTTTTTAATTAAATGGTACTTTTGGTATTTTATAAAATAATTAACATTGTTAACTATAGTTTTGGATGAAAAATCAAATTAGGGGGTAAATGATAAAAAAACTTTAGATAGGAGGGTAAATGATTAAAAATTTCGGAGAGGGATAAGTGATTCTGAAGAAACTTACATGGGATTTTTTGAAATTTTCCTTTATTTTAAATACATTTACTCATGAGTTATGACGCAATCTTATGGAATCTTTGAATATCTTTTCTTTGAATATTTATTTTAAATCTTTGAATCTTACAGAGCAAAGTACAAACCCTACCAATCTTTTAAATCTTACAGAGTAAAGTAAAAAAAAATATAAATCCTATACATTATATATGTAAGAAAATTTTATTTCCTACTAGGTTAACAATATTAAACCCCGTTATACTTCGTGGCACTTATCAGTATTAGATCTACTTGGATTTGAAAATCTTTGCTGTAGATATGTTGGTTTTTTATGCCTCTAACGTTAATTGGGAGACGCGGATATTTATGTAGCCACCTATTTGTGATCAACGTACCGAATTTTTTTTTCTTTTTTAATTTGTCCAAAACCTTTCAATTTTATTAAGAATAGTTATACTTATTAATTCTTAATACATGTTTAGCTATTGTTAGATTAATTTGAAATTAACAGTTATTATTTTTTTTTCTCTTTTTTAACTGTTGATTTTAAATTTTTTAACCATTATTTTTAAATTAATTTAACAATAATCAAACAAATAATGAGAGTGATAAACTTAAAATAATAATATGTATTACTTTTCCCATTTATTTATTTTTTGCAGGGTGCCTGGATTTGCTTTAGTACCATTTCATGTGAATTCATTGAAAACGTTTTAAACCAAGGTTTAGCTGATTGTTGTATTAGATAACCTGGTGAGGTAGCCCAATAATAGTAGAGCTAAGTGGGTAGGGAAGGACTTCATTTTCATTCCTATCAATGTCAATCTTAGAAGAGGTATAAGAATTTAATCCTTTGACTTTGCCTCGCATTCGAGATCAGTCTCGTAGCTGGACTAAAGATCCAAAGCTTTTAGGAATATTCAAGAAAACTTACTTGCCTCAAAAAAATAATTAAAGTTAATATATAAAAAAAAAAATAATTGGGTGAGGCCACTTCACTCTGCCGTTTAAGAAGTGACAGATTATTGTAGTTTGATTATCAAACTATGAATGTGTACATTGAGGATAAAATGCTAATAATTAAATATAGTTGAAATCAGAAAAATATTAACAATATGATGCACTCCCAGTATTAACAATATTACCATCTCTCATCCACTTTTTTGAAGTTATTTGATGCAGACAGGGAAATTGCAACATTATTAACAATATGCCTCTCACAAAAGTGCTAAATATGTCTTATTCATTCTTAAATGATACCTAGTTTGGGCATATATAGTCTCTGCATAGAGTTAGATAACTTGGAAGCTAGTACTTAAACCTGCACATCAAAATGGTAATGATCAGATGCAACAATTAATGGTATTCGTTTATGATAATTTAATGACACAAGACTCACAAATAAGAATCAACAGATACTGGAATCACATTGAAAAAGTGTTTTGACCTATAATTGTAATATGCGTACTGAAAAATAGATACCATATCAGAAGTCACCATTACTAGCAACGGTCACTGCCAGCTCCAGAGTTTCTCTAAATACTGCTAGCAAGTGGAAATTTACTTCATTCTTTTTGGTCATACACATTCATACATCTTTCCCATGCGACTCATCAACCTTTTTAGATCTCATCTTTAAATTCAGTGGTAGTTCCCAAATTCCTGTTGCTCACCCACTTGAATCTCTAGATGCATGCAGTCTATACAAGTTTAGTTTGATTTCTGACATTTCATTAGTTTCTTGTCAGCTAGTCACCAAAACTTAGAATAGAATATGTTTTTCTAAGATAAGAATTCTCCATAAATATAGCTTTTTATAAAAAAAATAAAAAAGTCTGTATTTTTGTACAACTCATTAACGCTTTCTTTAGTTTTTCACTAATATTTATATATTTTTATTTAACAAATGATTGAATTTTGTTTTACATTTGACTTTTGAACTTTTGACTAATAACAAGTTTGAAACAATGTCCATTGATGTTATGCTCATCAAATGTCCATCTCAGACATCAGCAAAACCAGGGGCTCAGTAACCGTTTTGCAAAAAATTATGCAGCAGCAAAGATGGGTCAACATTAGATTAAATGGTCATTGATTTCAAAGAGACATAAACCAAAAAGACTTGGTTACCAATTTCAATCAGATATTGTTATTAAACAAGTAACAAGCACTTTTTCTTGTGGCTGAAAGCATTACAAAGACCCATTATCACTTAGATCCCTGAAGACAATGTTTACTCACACATCAAAAATCTAAAATAATCTGGACTTCCATGTACAAGTCCTAGTTAAATTGACTCCTAGGTGTGAAATATGGAGCCTCATCTGTACTGAGCCAATCTCCGATAACATTTTGTGTTTCGGGTGTATCATTTGGACAAATAGGCCTAATTATCACCCTTGGTTTGCTGGGAGGCAACGAGGGAAGTGGTGCTTCTTTCTTAAGAATTCTACTTGCTTCTCTCACTCTTGGTCTCTTGTCATAGTCAGGGTGTACACAAAGAAGCCCCACCTGAAGCATCCTTTCCATCTCTAATGCATCAAACTTTCCCATCAATCTTGGATCAGCAGCTTCAATGAGTTTATTCTTTTCCCACAACTTCCACACATAATCAGCAACCACAGTGCCATCATCTTCCACAGGCTTCCTCCCAGTTGCAACTTCTAACACCACTACCCCAAAGCTGTACACATCAGTCTTCACAGTAGGAACACCAGAATAAACATATTCAGGAGCAAGATACCCCATTGTTCCTGCTGGTATAGTAGCATCCCTAGTAATAGAACTATGTTCATACACTTCTGCAAGTCCAAAATCCCCTAGCTTGGCATTGAAATCTGCATCAAGCATTATGTTGCAGGTCTTGACATCTCTATGAATGATTTGCCTCTCACATTCTTCGTGAAGATAGGTAAGAGCAGAAGCAACACCCAGAACTATATTAACTCTTTGCTTCCATGAAAGGACAATTGAAGAATTGAAGTTTCCATGAAGAACTTTATTGAGGCTCCCATTTGGTAGGAACTCATAAACCAGGACCAACTCACTTCCTTCGCAGCACCATCCCTTAAGCTGAACCAAATTTTTGTGCCTCAAGCAACCCACCATTGTAGCAAACTCAGTGGCGAAAGGATTGGGCAAACAGCCTAAATCATTAGCTCTATCAAATCTTTTCACTGCCACATCTCCTCCAAATGGAAGAGATCCTTTATAAACCTTTGCTGATGCACCTTCCCCAACAAGCCTATCTCGATTAAACCCCATTGTGGCTGATTTGATCTCTGAAAGTGACAATTTCGTGGGCACTTTTGATGTCTGAAATCTACAACTTTGGCCATCCCTAATCTGTCTAACAACACCCTTTTTCTTTGTCAAGAAAACACAGATTACAACCACTGCTGCCAATGCTGACACCACAAATGCTGTTATGCCTCCCAATCCAAGAGCCATCTCCCCAATCCTTTTCCTTCTGTGATGTGCATCACTGTGCCGGGTGGATGTAGTTGAATCCCCTGCATAACACAAGAAGCAATCTCCTTCTTCTACCAAATCCATAGGACTCACTGAAAGGGAGTAACCAAAAGTTTTGAATTGCCAATGATCAACAAGGTGAATACCTGAGCCCTGTCCATTAGAGGCAGAGAAACCCACATGCATGAACTCCTTGAACTTCTCGGAAAGGTCTATCTGGGAAGCAAGAATGGGAGTTGGAGGCCTAGTTGAAGAGTAACCAACCCACACACGAACCATTTTCATGGCATCTCTATACTCTATCCACGCAGTGATGAGTTTCCCACTTTTGATATCAATTCCACGAGAAAGAGCATCCACGGAAGCAAAAGATACGACACTGCTGACATCAATGCCAATGTGGTTCCCGTTGGTGTCACCAAGTGAAGGATCAAAACTGGTGTCAAATTCCACAGCAAAGTATGAATCTTGTTGGTTCAAAACAGGTGCAGGAAGACCCATATAACCACGTGAGAGGCTTGCAAAGTCGGTGCTTGATGCTATGAGAAAAGCAATGCCATCCCCAGAAGGGCAAGAAGGAGAGGAAATGATTGAGAAAGAGAAGCGGCATGTAAAAGAAGCAGTGGAGTTTGTCACAGGATCAAGAAAGCGAACAGGGTACACGTAGAAAGCTCTTCCCATTCCAGAAGAAGAAGAAGAAAAGCAAGTGAGTTCCTTGGTGAGACTAATGGCATTGTCAGCGAAGAAGGCGTCACCATAGAGGGTGACGTTTTCTGAAGGCAAGAAAGAAACAGAAAGTGACAGAAAACTGAGGCTGATGAAGAGAAAGAAATGAATCCACAATAGCAGCAGAGAATGACAACGCATTGTAAAATGGAGATTCTTCAGAATCTTGGGATTTAATGGAGGCAAATATTCAAGAATTTGATTTCATAGTATTGGCAGTTAGGTAGGTAGTTGTTGTCGTTCGAAGCTCAGAGAAAATAGTGTGTGTGGGACTTTTCCCTAAATCCTAATCCTTTCTTCTAAGCCCTAAATTGTAAGGGTAATTAAGAGAAAAAGTTTTTACCACATTCATCACTTGGCTAGCATCAACTTTATTTTGGATTCTGCATATTCTGCCAAGAAACTTCTTCATTACTCAGAAAACCTGAATCGTGTGAGTCATTGAGTCTAATTGGATGCCATTTCATGTTCCTTTTATTTTTGAACAATAGCGCTTTTAATGAACATCGATCGCCGAAGGGGTTTGTTTCGTTGTTAAGAGTATTAATTAATTAATTCTCTGTTTTCTTAGTCGGATTATAACGACGGGCTATACTCTCATATTCCATTCATTGTTGGTGTTCTTCATTCTTGGATCCAACTTAACAATCAAATTAATTTATTTTACTAAAATTTAAATAAAATCATATAAAGTAATCAATCAATATTCACTTTTCGATATTTGATATATAAAAATAATGCTAAATTAAACATGGATGGAAGTGAAAAGTAAACAAATGTAAAAAAAAATAAAAAATAACTGAAATATATATATAAAGGGAATTAAACACATGCTACAAAAATTATTAAGAAAAGTATGTCAACACAATCATTAAATATAAAAAATAAATAAAATCCTAATTTACCCCACAAAAAATACAATTGATAAATTAAAGATAATTTCCCAACATTGATCTAGATTTTCCTTACGACTTCAAAGCCTGAGACTCAAATCAATCATCTCTGTATTTTCATTATGAGGCCTCCTTGAAGAATTGCTTGCTTGATCAAAATTTTTCTTATTATGTGCAAGCTTGCTAATAAAATCAAGCTCCTCTGCGGTACAACTCCAAGATCTTTGTGACTGTTGTTGTTGCTCTGAACTTTGTGATTTTTCTCCTTGCATGAAAAAATAAGCAGATTGATTTGATTCGTGGGGCATCAAGCCTGTCCGATGCATGGTTGGTTGTGCACGATTCATCATCTGTTATCTCAGCCATGAATTACGATATGAGTCATCTCTGAGTTGCACACAAAGTGAATAAGATTTTTCCATATTCTCGAACAATTATTGAGATCCTACTGTCGGGCTACCAATTTGACTTTGGTTTGAAGTAAAGCCAAAATGGTGAGATTGGAATTTGGGAAGTGAGTATTTAGAAGCAGACGACATGCTAGAAATCTTTTCTCTTTTTGCTGCTTCTCTCTTCTTTCTATGGGTGTGACGGCATGCTTTTTGCTGCTTCTCTCTTCTTTCTATGGGTGTAACGTCCGGCCACTTGCAAGGATCAACGACTGTTCCCACACACTAACACGAGACTTTTCAGCGTGCTTTGTCCTCACTCGCACACTTCCCAGGAAAATTTCCCAAGAGGTCACCCATCCCAGAATTGCTCCAAGTCAAACACGCTTAACTGTGGAGTTCTTCCGATCCGAGCTACCGAAAAGTAGATGCATATTGTTAGTATAGGTAGTACCAATTAATTCTTATAAGTCATTCATAACTGTACCGTCCCATACCAGCACAGTCTCTGAAATCTCTCTCTTTCGGGTGTTGATTCGATTCATTCATGAACCCCCAAGCTGCAAGATTTGGCATGAGCCGCTCATTGTTCGTGCCCTTTCGCACCGGCGATCACTCCCTGCCCTTGCCACCTCTTGGAATGTTACAATGGGCATTCTGATGCCCACCCAAAGCATTGCCAGTGCTGAACTTCTTATTACAAAACTTGCAAGGGTGCATTTTTTTCACTCTTGCATGATTTGATGTTGTAGCATGGTGATTTCCATGATTGCTATTTGTTTCATTGTCTTCTTCTTCTTTAAGTTGACTAGCCATCGAAAATTGATCAGTAGCAGCAGAATGCATTGTTGCCTCAACGATTCTTGTAATGCATCGCTTGTGATGACAAATTATTTATATAGAAATTCCTTCCTATTGTGTACCGAAGTGCCCAAATAATTTTAGGATTTATGATGATTTTGTTTTGGTGATTTTGTAAATTTTCCGTATTTTATCACCAAATTTTCCTTTTGATTTTGCAGTTTTTCCTTATTATATTAACAAATTTTTCTTTGATTTTACAATTTCTTTTATTACCAAATTTTCCTTCTAAGTTATCCTATGATATCGAAACATTATTTCATCTTATATCAGATATTGTTCCGTCAATTTTTATTACCTGAAATAATGATATGTTTTTTATGCTCTTATTTTAATCTTGAAGATTTAAAATTAGTTTACGTAACTTTTAAAGATAAACTTAAAAAAATATAATTTATTTAAAACTGAATTAATTAACCCAAATGCAACAGATTATTTGAAATCAAAACATAATCAAGAATGAATCAGTTGCATTTTTTCAAGAATGCAACAAAATCCTAATCATGACATGACAGCTCTAAGCAAAAGATATGCAACAAATAAGAATGGATTAATTATATAATTTTTTTCTTCTTCCGTAAATCATGATATATTACATTTTCTAGCTGATATGAATAATGATATATATTTAGATTTTTATTAATTTACACTTATTTTCTTTTTATTTATTCAATATAGTTTTGATTACTGTCTGCATTGCTCTTTGAATTTTCTATTCATAAATTAATTGGTTTAGTTATATATAAATTTTGAAAATTTAAATATAAAAAATATTGTACTCATTAATTCTCTGAGAATATAGATTAAAGGTTATGTTTGACCTATTGTGAGACTTTTTAAATCGTTATTTTATTTTAAAAAATTAAATTAAGAAATTAATTGAGTTGTAAGTAAGAAAGAGAATCGATATATCAATAAACTTAGATACTTATTAATTTAAGGAATCTCCATATCAATTATTGATTAGATTCTAGTTAGGTTAAAATTCAGAGTGGCTTAATATGCCCGTTCATACTCTATTTCTTAGTTTTTACTGTAGCTTTTAAATTTATTCTTATTTAAGACTTTCACAAAGTTTATTTTTTTAATAAACTAAATTAATTGAGTCGTAAGAAATAAAGAGGAATGATACATCAAGAAACTTGATATTAATTAATTTACGGAATCTCCATATCAATTATTGATTAGATCCTAGTTTGGTTAAGCCAAATATGTCTGTTCATACTCTACTTCTTAGTTTTTGTTATTTTTTAAATTTATTCTCATTCAAGACTTTTACGAAGTTAATTTTTTTATAAATTATTTTATTATTAATTCTCAATCCTAAAATAATTTTCAATGAAATATTATAATATCTCTGGTTCTTATCTCTCATAATTTAAATGATTTAAAAAATAATTTTAAATGACTGAGTATATATTCATCCATAAAAAGTGATTATCATATGCATTAGATACTTATTAATTCATAGGTTATGAATGTATTAATTTTAATTTGATGTAAACGGGTCAATAGTCTGGCCTATAATTTGCTCTGTCTTCGGCCTGGCTGGTGTAGTAAATAGAGAAAATTTGAATTTATTAAAAAAAAATATTTATCCTTTTAAAGGAAGATAATAGTGAAAACTAATATTTTTATTTTAAAATTTAAATTAAAAAAAAATCTTTCACTTTCTCCCCATATGATTTTCATTGTATATCTCATTCTATCTTAAAATAACATAATTATATATCCTTTAAAAGTATAAACATCAATCCCTTTATTAAAATGCATTTTTAAAAATGAAGTCGCTGGCCAACTTTAGAAAGCATGGCTTAGGAACCTAATAACCGAGTTGTATCTTATATATATTTGGATTCTCTAACAAGTGAAAAAGTGTTCTCGTTATTTGATCACAATCACTCATTTAACACCTTGGTGGCGATTGTGCGACCTTGTTCATTGCGAGTGGTGAAGATGATGGTGCATGTGTCGTTATCGATGAGGCACTCTGCGATGAGAGTGAGTCGAAGGTTTTGGGAAAAGGAGGATCTTCCCTTTCTGCAAGACAGTGTTGAAGAAGATAACACCTTCGCGACCAAGGTGTGGCCATTGATTCCCGGTTTCAGTTGATCAAATTTCGTGAACGCAGGCTTTCTCTTTGCTGGTTTCTCGCTGCCACTACCTTCTTGCTTCTCCATCGACGCCATTGATTTCGATCAACAACTTCTCTCTCTCTCTCTCTCTCTCTAACGCTTCAAAACTTGTTTTGCTTTCTTATGTGGATTTTTCAGAGATTAGAAGAAAAGAGCAGCAAAACCATTAAATTGCTTCGACACGTCATTTTCAAATCGAATAGTCAATGTCACGTGACATGACCCTAAGAGTGGAAATCTGATGGAACTTTACTTCACACAAGCACCTTTTCAAAATAAATAAAGAAATAAATTTTTACTTTTTAGTATTTCTAATTAAAATTTGTAAGGCTTCGACAACAAAAGTTTCAAAATAAAATTTCAGATTTTTCTTTTGAAATGAATAGTTTCAATCAACTATTATTTTTGATTTATATTTAGAGAAAAGATATTGTAACAACCAACTAGTGTTATTACCCATGTTACTATCAATCAATTTCACCGCTAGATCGATTATGTTGATCCAGCGGTTATATTTATTTTCATCCTTGTATGGTTATGATTTACCATATTTAATGTGAAAGCATTAAATATGAGAAATCATAACCATATAAAGGTGAAAATAAATATAAATTATTAAATATAGAGAATCATAATCATACAAAGATGGGAATAAATATAACTGTTGGATCAAGATAACGATCTAACGGTGAAATTGATTGGTAGTAACACTAGTTGGTTGTTACAATATCCTACCCCTTATATTTATGTTATGAAATTTAAATATTTGATTGGTTATATGATTATTATGGGCTGCTATATATATTAAATATAAATTATATTATATATATTATAAATATTATTTAATATCAAAACGTGTCCTACGTGTCAAAATCTAACATTTTTAAGCATTAACATATCAGAATGTCGTGTCGTGTCATGTCCCGTGTCACGTGTCACTGCAACTAGGGGTGTAAATAGGCCAGGGCAGGGCAGGCTTTGGCCTTCCTGGCCTAGGCCTACACACAAAAATGTTGAGTCTATCTGGCCTATGAGCCTATCAAAGGCTTAGTTTAAAGGCCAAGCCTGCTCTGTTATTAAAAAATAAAAAGCC